CTCCATCGCATTAGGTTATCGAACAATTGTGTTTCATCCGAACTCCCATCAGTTTTTTTTTCTTCAGGAATCAACCATACGACTCTATGAATTAGCATTATCGACAGAATATTGCCATGCTTTGTCATAGATATGCATGGAACTCTTCGAGAATTGTTTTGGGCCCTTCTTTGTTTGTTTTTTTTCGGAAATCACCTTTTGAATTTTATGCTTTTGCAAACCAACTTTTGCTTCGTCATAAGAGATAATTGAAGGCATTTACTTTTCATTTTTTTTAAGCATCGCTTATTTTGCCATGCTTTTTCTGAGTTTGTGAAACAGGAGCAGTTGTAGCAAAGGGTGACGTTTTAACCATAAAGGTAAAGAAATGCGAGAACAACTGTATAATTGGCTATTGGCCAAACTGCGTAGTTACTAGACATTCCACAAAATAAGACACGAAGAAACTGGTTTTCTGACATCCTAATAGATTTTCTACTGTTACTAATTCCTTAGGTAATAGACGCCTGTAGTGTTTTGATATGATTTCAAGTTCTAAAGATAGCGGAAACATTCACTACTTCGTTCAAATATTTTGTTTTGCATCGTAATGTATAAACGCACAGTTTACGAGAACTTTGATGTCTGAGCAGTTATTTCCCTTGACGAGAATAAATTTTTATTTCTACTTAGAAGCAGACGAATCACATTCTTTAATAATGCAATGATAATATTCTCATATCTAGGGGAAAGGTGCTTTCTTCTACTTTTATGCTTAGAAGAAGACTTATTGGTTTGTTCAATTTTTTTATTCATCCTCAACCTATTTACCTTCTCCTACTCTTTCTATTTTAATCAATTTTTACTTATTTATTCTAGTTTTATCAGAGTTCTTTCATATTAGGTTGGGTCAGACAAAAGCTCGCAGAAGTGGGTGAGAACAAGAATTTTGTTAGGTGTTTCGGAGAAGAGAGGAAAGGTCTCTTGTTCGTAGGCAATATAAGATGAAATGGCTAGGCTTAGTAGAGCTATTTTTGGAATTTAAAGGACATAGTAAAGTTTTCTTATCATCATTTGGTTATAGGATCAATCAGTAATGTTTAATTAACTATTGTGACATTAAATATTTCCTCTGTGAATTTCAAGAGTAATGCCGGATCATAAGATTAAATATTTTTATGTTTACAAAGAAATGTTGCCCAAGTGTTCGCGGTGTAGGAATAGCCTAGTTCTCTGAACAGTGACAGTTCCAGTTCTGACTTCGATATCACTTTTCCGTGAATGTCTGAAAGTGAGCGGAACATTAGATGACAACAACAAAAATTTTTCGTTTTGCGCACCCCTCCCTCCTCCGTCTTCAAAAAAAATATTTTCCTCCATCTATGACCTTACTGGCTGAGCACTAAAACTGCATCTCTTTTTCTTTCCGAAAATGAAATTC